TGTAATCGCAGGGTTTGTGTATACTGATGACACGTTAACATCATTGCTTCCCTCTAGGGTTGAGAGAACAGTATTCTCTGGGATTGGCATTTGCTCCCCTTCTGCCAAAGGTAAAGCCCAAATGCCCAGAGTCATGCTCTGGCTAGATCTATCCTTGATGACTTTGTGGCTTTATATAGAGAGACAAATAAATGCTTTATTTTCAAGAAATCTTTAAGGTCCATTGTTAACATCCCAAGTATAGGGAACAGGGAAGGAAACTAACTTTTTTTGAGAGGGTGCTATCTACCAGACAATGTGCTGAGTGTCTTCATTATGTTTTTAATTCGGGTCACGACCCTGGGGGGCAGGTTTGTTTTTTGGTTTTTTTTTTTTGTGACGAAGATCAGCCCTGAGCTAACATGCATGCTAATCCTCCTCTTTTTGCTGAGGAAGACTGGCTCTGAGCTAACATCTATTGCCGATCCTCCTCCTTTTTTTTCCCCAAAGCCCCAGTAGATAGTTGTATGTCATAGTTGCACATCCTTCTAGTTGCTGTATGTGGGACGCGGCCTCAGCATGGCCAGAGAAATGGTGCCTCGGTGCGCACCCAGGATCCGAACCTGGCCCGCCAGTAGCGGAGCGCGCGCACTTAACCGCTAAGCCACGGGGCCGGCCCCTGTGGGGCAGGTTTTATTGTTATCTCATTTTACAGATGAGGAAAACAAGGCCTGGAAAGAGGATGAATAACTTGTCCAGGGTCACGTAGATAGCAAGTGGCAAAGTCAGAGTCTGGACCCAAAGCCTCCTGGCCCCAAAACATAGAACTATAATATATTTTGTAGGATTTTACAGATAGAACTATGAGGAGATCATTATCTCCCAGTTTACTCCCCAATATTTTTTACCATCCACCAAAACCAAGTACATAGGTCTTAATTCTGAAGGAATTGAGAATACTACTAATCAAAAGAGGAAAACAGACGAAACACAAAACCAAAGCAAAAATGGGAATGTTATAGACAATACAAAAATCTTAAGAGGCCTTATATCTCTTTTTTCTCTAATCTGTATTTTCCGACTCCATTTTTAAAATGTTTCATTCATCTGGCAAACGTTTATTGTACCTCAGATATGCCAAGCACAGTGCTCACTATATAGAAAGGAAATATCCCTAGGATGGTTCTACATGGCTCTTGGTAGGTCCCTTTTGTCTCTTTTTGCCCCACCCCATTAATAATGGAATCATCACCCTCCCAGTTACCCCAACTAAAACCCCCAGACCATTTCTTAATTCTTTCTTCTCTCTTATTCACCTTCTGGTCATTTACTGATTCTGTCTACAATATCTTTTCCTTCTTGCCTCTCTATTCCTGCTACCATTTCCCCTGGTTTAGATCATGTCCTCCTACCTTTACTTTCAATGAAATCTAATCTCTGCCTCAGTTTCTCTCCCTACCAATTAATCCTGTATACTATGGCTGAATCATTTGTCTTCCTAAAGTATTGACCTAGCTATCAATGGCTCCTCATTACCTTGTGTAAGTTCCAAACTCTTTCACCTGGAATTCACTCTGTCACCACTTAGCTTCTAATAATCTTCCTCTAGCCTTCGCCTACACCCCTTCTCCCACTTCATTCCACTCAGACTGGACCACACACTTTAAGGCACTTTCCTTGCCTCTCTGCCTTCTTAATGCCCTTCTCCACGCTTCAAACTTTACCTGCCTTTCAAGAGCCCACTTTTATGCCCCTTTCTCCTTGAAGTCTTCCTGATCTGAGCTCTCCTTCCCTGTCACCCTCTTAGCCAGGAATGATTATTCCCTCTTCTGAATTTCCATACATTTTATTTGTGCCTCATGGGTTTCTTCTCTCATTGAGTGTAAACCACCTTATACATCTTTGTATCTCCCACAACACCTAATATTAGATACTCAGTAGGTGTTTTTTGACTAAAAGAGGTGTAGTATTCATTATGTGTTCATTATACTATAATAGGCTTAAACTCGGTGAGGGTAAAAACTATGACTATTTCATTCCCATTCTGATTTTCCAGCCCCTAGCACATAGGAAACTCAATAAACGTAAAATGAAATACATTACAGTTATCAGTTATTGGGATGTGAATTTCCTGATAACATAGTAGATATCTGGACATGCCACTTTATGTTATATTTTTTTAAATATTAGTTACCTATGTTTCTTCATTTTATATTGACAAATACCCTATGATAAAGGTTGTGTGTTAATATTCTCACTTTCTCACTTTACAGAAGAGGAAACTGAGGCTTGAAGAAATTAAGTAGTTTATTTATGATCACAAAGCCAATGAGTGTGTCTAAAACTGAAGTGTTCAGATGTAAAGTTTAGAGTTCTTTTTCTTGGCCAAGAGTGGTTTGGCCAAAACTAGTTTGGTTCCGTTTGCTTTAGAATTGTTGGGCTTAAAGTATTGCAATCATGCTATATGGAATAGAATTAAGTCCTTGATTGACCCATTGTTTGTAGGCTCAATGTTTTCAAAATCAAACAGACAAAACACAAAAAGTATTTTCTGAAGAAAGTCTTGGCCCTGTGTGTGGACACTCCCTCCAAGGTGAGATGCCTGTCTATGCAGGCACTCCTCCTTGTAGGCACCTATCCCTAGTTGGGTTGGCTCTTAAGATGTGGGTCTGATTTCAGCTGGAGGCGTAGAGAGCAGGTCTCCACGTATTTGCCAGGCAATACAATCTGGCACTCACCACTTGGTAGTATTCACTGAAGCCATGGGGGAGAGATTCAGGCACGTACTGTCATTGCCTTTTCGTATTCATATACTCTTAAATCAAGGCAGATAAGCAGCAAGCTGAGCACCTAGCCTCCACAAAACTGCTTTTACTTGACTGCTGTTTGTTCATTTGCCATCAGGCTAGATACCAAGAATCATTATAAGAAACAATCCTCTGAAACTATTTCATCTATTATAAGGATATTGTGGGACATTGTTCATTATGATACACCGTGTCTTCTATGAAAATTTCTTGAGAGAAAATTGACTTTAATACAAAGAATGCTTTTGCCTTTCCTGAGCAATTGCTGTTTTTACCTTAGGGGCATTGTGAATGTTTAACTTAGTGCGCTCTGGTTAGTTGCCAAGAGGCTTAGAGCCAAATTTGTGGCCCACCCATAACAAGTGTGCTCTGTGCCTCGTTAACTTTGTTCCTGGCTCCAGTTTATGTCTCTGCTCAAGTTGTTTTTTTCTTCTTAAGAAAATCTTGGGCCGGCCCTGTGGCTTAGCGGTTAAGTGCGCGCTCTCCGCTGCTGGCAGCCCGGGTTCAGATCCCGGGCGAGCACCGCTTCTCCGGCCATGCTGAGGTCGCGTCCCACATACAGCAACTAGAAGGATGTGCAACTATGACATACAACTATCTACTAGGGCTTTGGGGGGAAAAATAAATAAATAAAATCTTTAAAAAAAAAAAGAAAATCTTAATTCATGCCATCTTAGATAGATATACATACTCATAAACAGCCTTATATTGTTTCTGAAATAGTTCATATTATGATATACTGTATGCGCATAAAACCACCTTTGGTGTTTCATAGCTACCTCATTTACTTTAGCGATATATTTATTTTTCTGTATAGGTTTTTGCAGGGTTTTGATTATATGAAAATGGTTGTACCACAAAATTTTATTGTTTTAATAGCATAACCAAGTGGTGAAATAACTGGTCTGATGGCCAGAATTGATTAAATTGATGTCATAATTCCAGCCCAGTGTTATTATTTCTTATAATGTGCTTTGCTTTGTACTCTCAGTCTGCATGTGACAGTTGATTGCTTTGTGATTTTTCAAAATACTGTTATGCTGCCAAGTCTGTGCATAACAGTGAACTCACTCTGTTAGGCTCAAATACTATATTACTTTACCACCCTTATCAGACTTTTTGTCTTTGTTCGCACCTTCCCTCAGGTGATCATGAGCATATTCATCTTCCTATACCACTTGTCTTCCTTCTACTCTGTTACTCACCCTTTTCTTTGGACAAGATAGTATGAATGGATATTTGTTTCCAAACCTCATTTGCTTTGGTTTGGAGGTCTTCTAGATTGTCTGATCATCTTACTAATATCATCCAATTAATAACAAATATTATTTATACAACATTTTATACTCTTTTAATACCTCCGAGTAAAATTATTTGGCCTTTTTACAACACTCTGAGCCATGTAAAGCAGGTATATGCCCTTTTTACAGATGATAAAAACAAGGACAAAATGGTTTAAATGACTTGCTCAAGGTGATAACATCAAATCAGTGGTAGAACTAGAGCTAGACCCAGGTCTCCTGATTCCTATGCCGACTACATTATGAACATTACATAGTCTTTATCTTACCCCTTGAGGTTAAAGATGGTAAATGGGCAAGACGTTATATCACTCATCCTCTTAGCTAGGCAGAATCAGGAATGAATTTGATTTGTATTACTCTCATGATTTTCTGTTCTTGAACTTACAGTTCCTTTTAACTACAACTTTAATCACTGTCACTTTCCATTATGGAATGAGGAAGCAATATTTTATCTTATCTCTTGAAAATTAATGTTGAAATGGAAACTATTTCCCTTGGTAGTTAGTAACATTTTTCTTTAGACTCTTTGAAAATTCATCTTTAATGTAAAAATAATTTTCCATTGTTATGCATATTCATTAAAGAGCCAAATATATGGTTAATGCTATGGAGTTTGATAAAACATTAGTTACAATTTTAACCAATCTCTGTATGTAAAGAGGAGATTAAAAGTCCATGCTTACTGTTTCAGCATGGAAAATTTGCAAAGTTGTCATTCTAACTAACTGTTAACATAAAGCACATATAAGCTAGAGTTTCTTGAATGTTTGCCCTTAGCCGTGCATTGTTGTTCTTTATAATTGTACTTAACCTCACAAAAACCCTGTAAGAGTAACTACTATTTATGATCCCCATTTTACAGCCAAGTATCATATTCAACAGTAAATATTGTCTTCTGCCTCTCCTTCAGCTTCTGGAATTTCTGGCCATTACAAGATGGACCCTGTAGTCTTGAGTTACATGGACAGTCTACTGCGGCAATCAGATGTCTCACTATTGGATCCTCCAAGCTGGCTCAATGACCATATTATTGGGTTTGCCTTTGAGTACTTTGCCAACAGTCAGTTTCATGACTGCTCTGAGCACGTCTGCTTCATCAGCCCCGAAGTCACCCAGTTCATCAAGTGCACTAGCAACCCAGCAGAGATCGCCATGTTCCTTGAACCCCTGGGCCTACCCCACAAGAGAGTTATATTTTTAGCCATCAATGATAATTCCAACCAGGCAGCTGGGGGAAGCCATTGGAGTTTGTTGGTTTATCTCCAAGATAAAAGTAGCTTTTTTCATTATGATTCCCATAGCAGAAGCAACTCAGTCCATGCAAAGCAGGTAGCAGAGAAACTGGAAGCTTTCTTAGGCAGAAAAGGAGACAAACTGGCCTTTGTGGAAGAGAAAGCCCCTGCTCAACAAAACAGCTATGACTGTGGGATGTATGTGATTTGTAACACTGAGGCCTTGTGTCAGAACTTCTTTAGGCAACAGCCAGAATCACTATTGCAGCTACTCACTCCTACATACATCACAAAGAAGAGGGGAGAATGGAAAGATCTCATTTCCAGACTTGCTAAAAATTAGCTGTTGAAGTATATTTGTGACTTTTGAAGTCTCCTCTTTCTGCTCATCATCATTTATTGGATGACTGCAATCTCAGTGCCTAAGGGAAGATGCCTGGTAGAGGGAAGCTTAGGATTCTTAACTTTTTCCTGAAAGAATGTCATCCTCTGCATTATCCTGATGGAAAGTTTCACTTTAACCCTAACTTGAAAGCAATATGTTCTGTGAAAATTTCTTGAAGTTATGCACCAAAACTTTAAAACCAAGCTATCTTAACATTTGTTAATTCCCTTTTGGTCTCCCTTATCTGCATTGGCTTATTCCCAAGGAAAGGCAGTAATCTGTAAAACAAATTAAGAATATGTGAAATCTAGAGGAATGCAAGAAGAAAACTATAGAAGAACCAAAAACTTATTGCACAGCCCACATATTTAAAGAGATCAACTGGCTAGAAGCAGATCAAGACCTAACCTAATTCAAGATATAAATATGAAAATCAGTTACTCAGTTCTTTGATATTTCTTCCATTCACCATACAAAGGCTTTCCTGGCTGTCTGTATAAACCTTTGCAAACATTTGATAAAGATGATGTTATCCTATCTTTCCCCATCTGATTCCTGAATGCTTTAAGAAAGGGGGAACCTTGAGTCATTTCATTAAAATAAATGGCTGTAGTAGACCTCTTAGTTTGCTCAGTGAATGGGGTCGACTTGCTACTCTGGATTGATAACAGCTTTCCTTCACCTTATCTGTTAGCATGGCACACTCCTTCCTTATATCCAAAGTTCTGTGGTTTTAAAACTCATAGCTGATAACTTCCCAAGGTTACCTATTTCAGAGAAATGTTTCTGCTTTCTGGTAGTCATCATTTTGTCTCTCCTCTCTATCCTTAATCTTTGAGAATTGTTTTCAGTTATGTCTTGGTGATTTCAGGACTATTATTCCATCTGAAACTTACAGACTGAAAGTTGGTTTGTTTTTGCCATATAAAGGAGAAAAAGTGACGTTTCTCAACCCTTTCACTTAATTCAAAATGCAGACTATGTAATTTTTTAAATGTGGAACCAAGAGTAAAACATGCTATCCCTCCTAAATCTCTGATGTGTTTTCTCAGAGTTGTTTCAGATAATTAACAATCAGATGATATATTGGGTATATACATTAATTCTATTCCTAATGAGAATTAGATTGTAATGCATATGAGACTTGAAAACCAAAGATTACCTTGAGCCATGAAACTTAGTTCAGCTACCTCCGTAGCCTAACCCCGCCCCCAGGCTTCATGGCCCAGAATGACCTCACCGCTCAGTGACCACAGAGACAGTAACTGAGTTCCGTTTAGTCAGGGAGGGAAAACACAGTAAGTATTAATAAGTACAGGTTACATAGCAGGCCCTAGTGAACAGAAGTTGAAACTAAAAGTCAAAGAGAAAGCTACAAAAAGTTTACATTTCAAGTCAGTAGGTTTTGAATAAAAAGGGTAGACCTAATGGAAGACAGTGGCAGAAAAAAATGATTGGTAACTGGCAGTCAGCTATGGAAGTGAAATAGGGAGGGAGGGACAGCAAGAAGAGTGACATAGGTTGCTGAGGGCAAGAGAGTAGATAACAATAAGAAAGCAATATTATTTCATTGACTGTTGACTTAGGTGAGGCATCTAGTCTAGATTCAGAGAGTCAGATCCTCTCTGGGAAAAGTTGTTGTCTTTCTGATAATGCAAAGTATGTCTGTTTAAATGTCAGAGTGTCTCCATCTTAAGAGTTAATACATATGAAAGCAATCTTTCCTAACTCCCTAAGATTTGTCCCAGAAATAAATTATTTTTTTAACTAATAAAGTCTTTTTTTTTTTTAAGATTTTATTTATTTATTTATTTTCCCCCCAAAGCCCCAGTAGATAGTTGTATGTCACAGCTGCACATCCTTCTAGTTGCTGTATGTGGAACGCGGCCTCAGCATGGCCAGAGAAGCGGTGCCTTGGTGCGCACCCGGGATCCGAACCCGGGCTGCCAGCAGCAGAGCGCGTTCACCTAACCGCTAAGCCGTGGGGCCGGCCCTAAACTAATAAAGTCTTAAAGAAAAAAAAAAGAGATAAAATCTAAGGTCTCCTTTTCTGAATACATAACATGATTGGACTGTGCCACGAGTTAGTCTCCTTCTGTAAAACTTTGTTTATGCTATTTGTCTTAGCATTGTAACTGACAGGAGATCTTAAGAGTTTACTTGTAATATTTCACTAGATACTATAACAGCCCATAACTTATACACCAGCTTGACCATACAGCATTGATGTTACGTGATACAAAATAGGAAGAAGATCTTTTGCTGGTATTGTGTTCCTCTGTCTCTTAGAGTCAAAAGGATCCAGTGTGCAAAGTTCAGCTTCAAAATATTCAGAAGGAAAGCAGGTTATTCAAAATTGGATGGAGCAACTACCACAATCAACTACCCTGCTTTTGAATATCCTGGTGTATTGATCCACAAGTATACTCACACTTGTCCAACTTGTGTCTCATATGGAATTTAGAAGGTCACCATATGTAAACCCAGCTGTAGATGGTGGTCAAAAATAAAAGTAAGTATCAGCATGTTTTCTATTTGATACTATCCAAATCATAAATATTTCTGCCCTATGGCTAAATAGCTGTTGAAATTCCTAACCACTAGTCCTAATTGGACCAGAATAATTAAAAAATCACAAGTGGATTGTATTTCTAATATATACCTTATTATTTTTACTATACTACAACTTTTACTATATCCATATTGACCATATGTTTTAATAGATATTCCGTTGAAATGGCAAAGTAGAATTTCTCAGTCACTTGGCTATTTACTGATATTGAAAGTTTTTTCCTTCTATCACTTAAAATAGAGAAGGGGAAAATATTTACAGAAATTTCCATGTTGTGGTGTGAGAAAGGACGTGAATGTTTTAATCAAATCGAAGCCCTGTCAGTTATAAACTTATAGCCCCAGGCAAGTGTGAGATTAAGTAGCTTCATTTGTAAAATGAAGCTAGCAGTCTGTTCAAGCAGGTCCTATAGGGATTAAATATCATATGTAAAGCATAAAATAGACACTAAAAGAAACCTACTCTCCTCCTGTCCTACTACCCAGTTCCATTTTCAGACTAGCAGCAAGTCTGAAAACTTAGTTTTATATTGCAGCTAAACAGCTGCATAAAAAATGGCCTGATAAGTACTATTATGTACAAAAGAGAAAACTTATTCCAGGATGGTAAATAACTAATCTTTGTATCACTCTATAATGTGCAAGGTATTTTATATATATATTATTATATAGAATTATAATATGTAATCTCATTTGTCATATTTTTCCAGGTATTATTATTCTAATTTTATAGATGAGACAAACTCAGCTCAGTCACATGATTGAAAGTGACAGGGCCAAGACTCAAACATGGGGCCTCCATCTCCTCTTCTTACCCTCTTTCCACCTACTCCTTTCTCCTTCTCCCAGAAAAGGGTGGCAGAAACTTGCTTGAACATTTTAAATGTAATCTCGCCTCACTTTATAAATTGCATAAATACAGCTAGTATGTTACAGAAACCAATAGTGAAAATTTGTCATCTCAATTAACTGCTAGGTAGCAGAACCTATATAACAACTGGCTTTGTTTTATATATTAGGTCATATTTGGATCAGCTCCTAACATCGATCTACTGATCAAAGGCATTTTAAAAACCCTACGTTGTACTTCCTTTCAGATTCTATATATATGAAAGATGAGAAGAACAAGAGCAGTGGCCTAGGGAATCTCATAAACGAGAGGGCTTAAAGGAATTGGGGTAAATAAATGGAACTAAGCAAAGATGGAGCACTCAGTACAAAAGTAGGAAGATTGGTCACTAAGTTCCAAAAAGGCAAATGAAATTCCACTAAGGAAAAATCCAAGTGCAAAATGCATTTCCTTATGTAGGGAAAAACATGTCAGAGTGTCAAAGGAAGTAGTAGCCAACTTCACTGTCAGTAGTAGGGAGGAGTTGTCATTACTCTGGAAAAAATTAATCTTAGATCCTGAAGTTTGTGTTAACAGAGGAGAAGAATTACTTCTGGCTCTTTTCTCTCTCTGTAACCAAACGAAGCAACGTGTATTTGGAAGAAAACCCTTTATCCATGATGCACGCTGAGACAAGGTTTTCTGAAGTAGGCTATGCCTCCTAGCCAGCTCACGGTGCAGCTCTGCACAGCTTCTACCTCAGTCTTCATTCGTCAGCCTGCAAGGCGTTGACTTCCTCCCGCACTCTCTTGACTTCAGAGAGAAAATAGGTACTACCATGAGCTCCTTCAACTTTCCTGACACCAAATCTACAAACCTACCTGTATCTGTACCCATCTTTGAACCTTCCTCACTCGTATTGCAATGACCCTCTTGGCTAAGGCTAATCCCTTCACCCAGGCACAGGGATTCTTTACAAACAATTCCTTTACATACACATCATCCTCCTCCTCCTCTCTACTGGCTCTTTTCGAGCAGCATTTAGACGTATAGATGTATTAATCTCCCCATCTTTAAAAATAAAACCATGGGGGCCGGTCTGGTGGCACAGCAGTTAAGTGTGCACACTCTGCTTCGGTGGCCTGGGGTTTGCAGGTTTGGATCCCGGGCATGCACCGACGCACCACTTGTCAAGCCATGCTGTGGTGGCGTCCCATGTAAAGTAGAGGAAGATGGGCACAGATGTTAGCCCAGGGCCAATCTTCCTCAGCAAAAAAAAAAAAAAAAAAGGGATTGGCGTTGGATGTTAGCTCAGGGCTAATCTTCCTCACAGAAAAAAATAAAAATAAAAGCATGACCTTGTATCTCCCTCTAGATATTGACCTTTTGTTTTCCTCCTCTCTACAGCCAGATCTAAAGTGTGTGTCATAATTCCTCACCTCCCTTGCACTTCTCAACCTACTTTAATCTAGATTCTCCTCCTACCACTCTACAAAAAATTCTCAGTAAGATCACTAATGGTTCTTATTTCACTAGTCCTCCTAGTGACATTAAACCCTTTTCAAACCACTCGTCTTTAACTGATGTGATGCCTAGTTGTCCTCGTACTTCTCTGACCACTGTTTCTTCTTTGCCAGTTTCTTCTCTACTTGCTGTAGATTCTCAGGGTTTTATCCCAAAAGCCCCATTCTCATTCTATACACGCTTCCTAGGCTCTCCCATCCTGATGGTTCCCCAGACCAACGATAGATTTGGGCACTTCAGACCTGTACTCTCCTGAACTCTCCCAAACTTCTATCCATAATATCCTGTATTACCAGCCTACTAGACTGGATATTTCATAAGCAACTCAAACCCAACAAATCCCAAAGCTCAACACATCTTCCCCATCAAACCTGCTCTATCAGTATTCCTACTAGAAATTCCCTCAGGAAATGGAACCATTGCCCCACTCAGTTCTAGCTAGAAGTCTAGCAGTCATCCTTGACTTGTCTCTCTCTCACACACTTCACATCTATCAATCTAGTCATGTTGATTCTGCATCTTAAATATCCTTTAAATCCATGTATTTCTCTCTATTGCCAATACA